TGTATGTGTGTGTGTGTGCGCGTGTGTGTATGTGTGTGCATGTGTGTGTGTCCATGTGGTGTGTGTGTATGTGCTCTGTTTTCCATTGGCTCTACTCTTCTCAGGACTTCCCAGGACAGGGACCACCTCTGCCCTGGTCACTGCCTTTATTCCTCCCTCCTACACTGCTCTAGAAATTCCTTGAGGCAGAAAGCTGGGGATTGCTGTCCATCATCATTGTGGTTGTCATCTCCCTTGCCACCAGCATCATAATCATAATCATTGTTGTCATCATCTTAAGTGAGCATACAAAGCAACAGGATTCACTGTGGCTTCTTCATCCATCTATTTTCTCACCCATCCTCTCCCTCCCCTGATTCTTTCCACCCCCTTCCTGCCCGCCATGGTCTTGCCTTGGGCTTTCATACCATGTGTATTTTACCATCTTCTCCTTTTTCCCACCCCTCCCCTATGAGTGACCTCCTCCTCTCCTCTCATCCTCTACTTTCACAGACTATATCCATGTACATGCGTCCAGCGCGTGCGCGCGCGCACACACACACACACACACACACCTTAATAGTGCATCTGAGAGAAAACAGTTTGTCTTTCTGAAGCTGTTTTATTTCACTTGATAATCTTTGATTTCATCTCCCCTACCCCGTGTAAACATTTCATTTCTCTTTACAGCTAAAAAAAAAAAAAAAAGTCCCATTGTGTGATGGACCATATTTTCTTCATCCATTTAGCTGTTGATGGATTTCTAGGCTCGTTCCAATTCTTAGCTAATGTGAACTGTGTAGCCATGAACATGGATGTGTAAGTGTGTCTGTGGCAGAAGTAGATTCCTGCAGGCATGTACCCAGTGATACAGCTGAGTTAGATGATATTTCTGAGAAGCATCCATGCTGATTCCCATAGTGGCTGCACCCATTCACACTCCTCCAAAAGGACCACGGCTCTTTCTCCACATCCTCACTAGAATTTCCTGTCATTTGTTTTCCATTCAGATGGATATGAGAAAGAATCTCAAAGTCATTTGCTTTTCCATGATGGCTCAAGATGCTAGACACCTTTTTAAGTATTTATTGGCCACTTGCATTTCTTTTGAGAACTCTTCATTTAGCTCATTGGCCCATTTATTGATCGGGTGGCTTGTCTATATATTTTGTTCAGTTCTTTATATAGTCTAGATATTAATCCCATCTGCTGTGTAGTTGGTGAGGATTTTCAGCAGGCCAACTCTTTGCTTTGCTGTGCAAAAAAAGGTTCTTAATGCCATACAGTCAATTAAAAACCTTAACAGTCAATTCTTGGGATTTTCTCCTAGGCTAGGTGTCCCTTTTGGAAAGTACTGGCCTGTGCCTACATCTCGAAGTATCTTCCTCTAATGGCTTCAGAGCTCTAGATCTTAAATTATTTAAAGATTACCATCTTGTTGCCATTGCCCATGGTTTCATATATTTGGAATGTTCTGGATGTTTGGGGAGAGTCAGCCAAATCTACTTCATTATCCCTTGTTGCTTAGAAGCAGAAGCCCTAAAGCCTTTAGCCATGGTGTCCAGGGCTTGGCCCAGGCCGAGTATTCCCAGCCCTTTAATGCAGCATAGACTGACTAAAAAGAATGAGACTCCCTTGACGCAGCAGACTTGAGCTTGCGCCCTTTTCCAGTGTCCTGGCTGCCTGTCCCATCATCTGCACGGAATCAGGAGAGTCAACTTCACTGAGGTTCATGAAACGGTGACATGACCCCTGAGGTTTCAGGACAGCTCCTGACTTTCTGTCATGTTCAAAGGAAGTGACAGAGACAGTAGAGATTGAAGCAGCTTGACACTCCCCCATCTGGCCACCCGCCGGTGTCACCCAGGATTGCCAACTCAGTGCGCAGGTTGCCCTTCCCTTGCATATGGGCAATCAGTGCATGCTGCTTCTTTTGGAGACTGCTGACTCCTCATGCAAGAAGATCAGGTCTTAGTCAGCTTTGTAATCATCCCTGGGCAGCTGGCGCCAGGTCTGGCAGAGGACAGCTTGTGTCTGATTCATCTCTGTAGCCCCAGCTCCTAGCAGTGGGCACTGAGCATGCTCAGTACATGTCCAGGGGAATGCATGCATGAATGAGCACTGTCAGGAAGCAGCCTCTAAATAGGAGCCTCTAGCCTGCCCATGTGGTTCATCATCCCTGCAGGGGTACTGAAGGAAACTGAGGCAGCAGCCAGGCTAGTGGGCAGCTCCAAGATCTTGAGACCCCCACTATAACCCTCACTTAAGTTGCTCCAATGTTTATTCTGTTCCCTGCAATGACAACACCCAGGCTCCCTCCAGCATGCTTTAATCAACTCAAGCAAGGATAAATACGAATGCCATCTTCGACTCTATCTCTGGTTTTGTGATGAAAATCTATGTTTTATGACACCAGGTCTCTTGAAATACCTCCTCTTTGCAGACGCGGTCTTTCTGCCGTAGGTTGTTGCCTTCCACACACACAGTGTTCCCCTGAACCTGCTGAGTCCCACGAGGTCTCAGACAGAAGGGCATACAACCAAAGATAGCTATTTCGATGACCTATGACCATAAAAAGAAAATCCCCACCCCACCAGCAGAGTGTAAGGGAAGGAGGCCCTGCCAAATTCCAGACTGAGCTTTGCAACCTGTTGTGTGGATGGACTTGCTGGCACCTTTGAGGGACAAGTCTAACTTAGGTGTGTCACTATTAACACCCCTAGCTGATGGAATCCTTTGCTGTGGTGACCAAAGAGAGCTCCTCCCCCTTCCTGAGCTTCTAACTGCTGTGTAACCATTCCCAGGTGTAACCGCTCGCTGAGACCACACACATACATAGGGAGACTGCAGCAAGAAACAAGCTGGGTGGAATGACCCTGGGGATGTGCCCAGACCCGTCAGAGCCTGGGGCAGAGTCAGAAGCGGATGAAAGAGCGTTCTCTTCCACAAAAAGGAGGAGCAAACCTTTGTGGGTTTGCAATGTTGCCACTGGAGAGTGCAGCTATGGGCAGGGCACTAAGGTCACCAGGAGGACTCAGCTCAGTGAGTCCGGAAGGGGAAGGCTTGGAGTTTGATGTTATCAGCAGAATCACTGAATGAGCTTATGGATGGGAGCATGAGTCCCTAGCATCCTGGTGGCTCTCCAGCACTGTACCGGGACTGTGTGGGGACTGAGAACCCAAAGCCAGCTCCCCCAGCTGCCAGCAGCCTGGTGTGTCCTTGCCTCGGCAGTTTCATCCAGAGTGTCTCTGGTTCTCTGAGGATCTGTGGAGAGCCGAGGTCCACTCTGGGGACTGTGTGTTACTGAGCAGTCCCCATCCCCTGGGAGTCAGAGAATGTCTTCCTGGATCCCATGATGTGTTCACTCTCTATCTCCACTTCTCCTTGGTTCTGCCTGGGAGGGTACCAGAGTGTGACCATCTGGGAAAGACATCTAGGTGTTCGCTTTTAATGTTACTCGTGTGTGTGTGTGTGTGTGTGTGTGTGTGTGTGTGTACACACACGGGGACCATCCTATAACATATGTTTACCCAAGAAGAATATGAAACTGTCTATACAAAAGATTCCTTCACAGATGTTTGTGACAGCTTTTCCTAGAGAGCCAACATCTTCAAACATCCTAGGAGCCCACCAGCAGGTAAATGGACGAACAGTTGTAACATAGGAACATGGGGCTGGGAGGGTATTACTCATCAACAAAAAAGGAAGAACTACTAAACTACATAGCAACCTGGGTGAACCCCCAACACTGCTAAATAAGTAAAGCAAATGTAAAAGAGAAACGAATGTGCTTATCGCGTGATTTATATGAATGCCAGGAACACACAAATCTTATCTACATTTTAGCAATCATTAGGATGGTTGCCCCCCACACCACCACCACCACCACTAAGATTATCGCGGAAGAGATTCAAGGATATTTTGGAAGTATTGGGAATAATGGGTGTGGCTTATGCTGCTGTGGAGATCTGACACAGCTGTCAGGTGGTGTACTGTCAGGAGGGACCCCTTTCCCCGGCCCCGGACACATGCTGATGTCCTCCAGTCATCATCAACTTCTGCTGTCTCCTTCAGAGGGCCTGGTACTGAGGGGACAGAGCTGGGGACATCGCTTTGACTCCTGTGCAGATTTTCACATTTACTGAGGACTTGTGGAGCCCTGTCGGCCTGTGTGGTCTGTCCACTCCTCTCCTCCCTCACCCTCCCTCTGCTCTCTCATGCCTCGGTCCCCTCCCCTCCCCCAGTCCTTTAATAACACACCCATCCTTCCTTTTCTCTGTGGCATCTGGTTCTTCCCAAGTCTGTGGGATGGGGCTGGGCTGTCTTCGCTTTACTCACAGGGAAGTAAACATTCTATTAGAGCTATACCCCAGGTGAACACCAGTACTGCCCAGACCCACTGGGGACAGGCTTACCCTAAGGACTCCTCCTGGGTAGGGTGAGGACAGGAGGGTCCCGTGGAGGCGTGGAGGCGGGTGTCAGACATGCCCTGGCCCCTTCCAGGCACACTGAGGAAGCTGCTGGTAGCATCTCCTGAGCCGAATCCAGGCACGAAGAGCCAGCCTCTCACAAGAAGCTCAGTTGGGAAACGCATCTAGGGGCTAGCCTTGCTCCTTTCTCCTCCTAAGTTCCCTTCAAGCCGGCCACCCCACCCCCAACCACAGTCGTACCGGATTTAATGCCTTGACTGAGAGAATGAGATGTTCTGTTATTTTTCATGGGAAATTAAACCCGACCCTGCTGTCAGTTAGCTCATGCCTGGGAGGATGGAGGCCTGCTTAGCCAGGCGCTCAAGCTCAGCTCTGCTCAGAGCTTGCCAAGGAGCCTTGGAGTCACTGAATGGGGGAAGGGGCTGGCTGGGGGCCAGGCATGACGTCACCTGCTGCTGTGAGGTAGGGAAAGCAGGAAAGGTCAGAGGGCCTTCCTCGGGGTGATGGATGGCTGTGCGTGCCACTGCCTCACCAATGTCACACAGACCCACCTCGCTCACTCAGAGACACTCAGTCCCCAGTCTCTTTCAGTGCCCAACTCTACCTCGTGCCCTGCAGAGGACAGCTGGTGGTCGGGGCTGGTGATCGTCGTTGCTGTCGTCTGTGCCTCCCTGGTGTTTCTGACCGTGCTGGTCATCATTTGCTACAAAGCCATAAAGAGGTGAGTGTCCAGCCTCAGTGCCAGCTGGAGTCCCTCGGGAGCCCAGCTGGGCTGCAATGTCTTCAACCGCAACTGCCTGGCCGTTTCGTAAACGATAGATGGTCACACCAGTCAGGGGCATAGGCAGGGGACCCCCTCCGTTCCTACCCCATTTAATGCTTGCCATGAGTGTGCTGTAACGGCCACAGTGGTATCCTCTCTGTTCTTGTATCTTTAACATTTGAGGGTCGATCTCAGACACGCCTTCCCGGTGCCAGAAGTTTGATTCTGTAAGTTGAACCTTGAGTCTGTGGAGCTTTCCGACTTGGAGGATGGGCTGTTCACTGTGTGCCTTGGGGTGACTGTGCAGATGACACCCATGACTGAGCCATGAAGGTGACCTTTCCTAGAGTTGACGAGGCCGCTGTTCAGTCTGGTCAAGCTTGTCTTGTCCTCCTGTCCCAATGGGCTGGGGCCCCTCTGTCTCATACACAGCTTTAAGGGTAGGGTCTGCCATGGTCAGCTCTCTCCCCCAACCCTTCACCCTCTTGTCAGCCTGATTCCTCCCCTGAATTATAGGTTCAGTTGACACCTTTACTTTTGAGACAAGTTCTCACGATGTAACTCAGGCCAGCCTCAAGCCCTTAATCCTCCTGCCTCAGCCTCCTGTGTCTACAGGAGGCCTAGGCCAAGAAGGACTTCTGGAAATCCAGGACAGGCCTTCATGGATTACCCAAGGTCACCTTGGGAACTGGTCCCCAGGCAGAGCAGGGGCCTTGTGTGTGCCTACTGTCAGAGTGAAATAGGCAGAGATGCTCCCAAGGACACGATTACGTTTTCTGTATCGTAGGTGCCTCTTCCGCTGGACGGAGCCTTGAAAAAGCAGGAGCCACAAACCATCGGTGCATCAGGTGCCATATGCGCCACCTCTGCCCACAGTCCCCCCACAAACAATATCCATCCCTCCCCACCATGTGGCATCCCAGGGGTTTACAGAGCACCCAGGGAGCCTGAGATATCACGGAAGTTCCCTCTCTAGTGCCCGGTGTGTGGCCTGGCAGTGTTTTCTCTGGCACCCATGCTGGGAAGTGCTTCTTCAGTACAGATCCGATCCTGCAGAGTGGTAGTGCTCCACCTTCCCTGTCCACCATGCCCTCTGCTGCTCCCCTCTCTGAGCATACCCAAAGCTTCCCAGAGCCAATCCGGATAGCTGAGGGATGATGTGAGGATACTTGTAGGCCACATCTAGGACTCACCTTCACCTGGATGTGGAAAGAGAGCTGCTCATGTACCATTGGCTTCTCCTAGTGACACCTTGGTGACTGGGAAAAGATTTTTCTGGGTCTCGACTCAAGGTTGGGGAAGTCTGTACTCTATAGAGGAGGCTCATACCAAGCCTTGTGTGTGTGTGTGTGTGTGTGTGTGTGTGTGTGTGTGTGTGTGTAAAGGATGAATGCATCTTTTTCCTCCACTGTGGGCTGTTCTGCTCAGCAGAACAGTAGTTGAGGATGACAGTGTCAGCTCATTGCCAGCAGAGCCCTAGAGCCCAGCCTAAGAGACACTGATGGAGGCCGTCCCTGCAGAGGCCCTTCTGGGCTCTGCAGCTGTATCCCAGCAAATGATGCTCCCAGTGGAGATCAAGAGCACCTAGTAGGTGGGGACAGGAGGTCTCCAAATAGGAAGGCCACACCCCCATCCCTTCTGCCCAGAAGCCAGAGCACATGGAGGCACTCATTCACCTTCCTTTTGGTTCTAGAAACCAGGCCATTTAAAGGAGTTCTCTGTGGCCTCTGCCTGGCTTAGTGGGACCTGCCCAGATTGGCCTACAGATTGGAGGATCGGGAGCCCTAGCAATGTCTGCTAGCCCTTCCAGAGACTCAGAAGGTGCATGCTAAGCAGAAAGCTTGGGCAGACTGGAGCACGGTATGATGGCCACCGCTGGCCAGCCAAGCAGCTCCCTTGACACTTCTGTGACAACGGTGCTGGGCGCTAACAGACACTTACAGAGCACTTGCCGTACGCTAGACACTCATCCACATGCTTGCCGAGCACTAATGTGTCTAATCCCTCCAACAAGCCTACGAAGGGGACACTGTTGTTATACCCATTTTATAGTAAGGAAGCTGAGGCTCAGAGAAGTTGCCCACATTGCCTGAGTTCACACAGGTAGAGGGTGGTGGAAAGCTGAGGTTCTTGAGGATGTGGCCTCTGCCTCTTAACATGGCCGGTGTCACCCGTGAATGACATGTTGGTAGGAGAATGGGGACAGTTTAGTTTTCACTGGTACCAGACATGCCTGGAAGCCTTTGAGAACAGCTAGGACCAGAGTATGGGGAGCAGAACAGAGAGGGTCTTGGCTCTGGTGCCAGGAGGTGGACAGGGTAAGTCTACTTATTGTGAGGACCTTTAATGCCACCATCACCATGAGCTGGCATCTGGGAGCTCTTGGGCCCCACGAAGCAGGTCATCCTGGATTAAAGATAGGCAAGACAGACTTCCTAGAAAGCTTGATGAGACTTGGAAGGATCTCTGGGAGGAGGTGTAAGGAGGCTTTCCCAAGCAGCTGGACCACAGAGCCTGTTCTTAGGAGAATGCCTGCTGCGGATGATGACCTAAGGGGACAGTCAAGGATGACAGCCCAGGTCCCACTACAATGTGGCTGGGGCCCTTGGCAAGTCACTCAGCCTCAGTTTCCCCCCATGAAATGACTATCTTAACTCCAGCCTGGCTTCTTCAGAAGACTCTGAGGAGGGACAAGAGTTCCTCTACGTGAGAGAACTCTGTACAAAGCATGACACACTAGGGGAGGAAGCATGGATTTGATCTTGCCTCTCTGAAGTCACAGTGGCTAGGCTCAGCCACCCAGAGTGATTTCCTCTGTGAATAACTTCCCGCAACAAGTGAAGGGGTGGTGAATAGACTTGACCTTAGTGTGTCATGTGAGAAACCCTTACTGTCCCATGACTCCACTGACCATCCCCTTGCCTTCCACCTCTGACTTTGTAGAGTCCCCCCAAAGGCCTTTGAGCCAATCACAAAATACCATGCCTGCTCATCCTGTCTTTGGGGAGGCTCTGAAGGTTCTGAGAAGGCAGAAGCCATGAATCCCTGAGCTTTTGAAGATGACCGTAAGTGTCTAGTCTAGATAATACTTAGCAAGAGCCCTTCATCTAGGCACCTCTGGGAACATAGGAGGTGACTGAGCTATGTGCCACCGGAGTTATCTTCACCTAAGAGACAGCAATATAGTGGTGTGAAGCACAGATTGCACAGCCCAGCCCAGGAGGTTGTAGATGCTCAGGGTGGAGGCCAGAGACCTCCCCACTACCCAGATGACTCAGAGGAAGAAAGAGGACTCAGACAGATGGGATAGCACTGTGATTTTACACTCTCAGCAAGCACCTTCCTCCTAGCCTCCCTGACCTCTCGTATAAATAAGAGGAATGAACCTTGATTTAATTGGCCTCTGAAATGAGCTTCAGATGGTTCAATGAAAAGCGCTAACGAACCACTGGTGTGTACTAGCTCAACTTGGGAGTTCTTCATGATCACTGCTATAGCCATCACCACAGTCACTGTCACCATCACTGTCAACCCAACCATGACTGCTATTATACTCCACCATCACCTCCAACCGTCACTACAGCATCCCCACCACCTCCCCAACCACCATCACCACCGTCACCATCACCACCATCACCACCATCACCACCTTCTCCACATTATCACTACTACCATAACCTCCAAAATCTCCACCACCTCCTTTACTGTGGTTACTGCAGTTACCCTCAGCATCATCCCCTCTGCCCTCACCACCACCATCTCTTCTGCCATCGCTAACTTCACTAACACCTCCTCTCCTACAGTTATCACCATAACCACCGCCAGGAGCATCACCTGTACCACCACCACCATCACCAGCCAGCAGTACTACTGGCACCTACAACCCTGCCATTCATTCATCACATTTACCTTATTGTGATCACACAGAGGCAGGACCCACAACCCAATTACCAATGCCGCTCCTTGCGAGCCAATCGCTCCCAAAAGGATCAGTCAGAGCTTGGACATATTAGGCTGACCACACATTTTGTGTTGTCCAGAACAGTTCCAATTCAGACTTGTCCCTGTCCCCTCTTTCCTTCCCAATAGGCCCTGGTTTGCATCCTAAATTATGTGCTCACCCTAGTTAAGATTCTACCTGGCTTCTGATTGACTCCACAGAAGTGCTAACGTGGACTCTGGCTCGGAGGTTACATCATCACTGTTGCTCGCCACTAACGGTGTCCTTGTTCCCCTCCTGGATCCTTTCTAGGAAACCACTGAGAAAAGATGAAAATGGCACCAGTGTTGCTGAATATCCCATGAGCTCATCCCAGAGTAGCAAAGGGGTGGACGTCAGCACTGCGGTGGTGTGACTCGCAGGCCCTGGACCCACGGGCTGGAAGGGCACCTTGGTGACGCTGGTGGTCATGGATGACGGGTGGACATGAGCTGACCCTGTGCCTGTCCAAGACTTCATGCTTTACAGGCCTCGGCCTCCTGAAAGAGAAAGCATCCTCCTCCCAGGCTAGCTCTGGTCAACCCTCAGGGTGCAGCACAGACACCAGGCTTGAGCCAGGCTCCCCTGCATGTGGCCCCTGAGCAGCAGCCCCACCCAGGGCCCCCCATACCCTCCCTCCTGTCTTGCATTGGGTGCACTGACTGCCACCCAGTTGCCACTGAAAGCGCCTACTGCAATGAAAGTAGAGGGTCTGTCTGTCATCTGTCTGCCTGTCTGCCTGGGGCTGAAAGACATCCCACTTTAGTCAAAAGAAAGGCGACCCAGGGGCTTCACCCATTCTGGAAGCTTACTCTCAAGCAGGAAGCCCACCTGCTTCTCTGTGGACATTCTAACAAAAGCCATCGCACAGCCATGAGACAAATGTCCCCTTCCAAAGGTGCTTCCCACACATCTGTCCATAACTGTACCTGCCACGGTCTTCCGTCTCCAGAGACTGTGTCACCCTCCTTTGCCCACCCACAGCCTACCCTGACTGCATGACTGCCTTGGGAAGCAGTGAGCCCAGCCTGCATGGCCTCAGGGAGTGGACTCAGTGTCCCCCAGAAACCCAGGCTGGGGGTGTCCCAAGAAAGTCAGAGGTCCCCTTTGCACCTGCTCTGTCACCCCACACACAACTGGTTCTTCAGGGAGCATCAGTGTGAGCCAGGCCCTGCCTCACTGGGCAGAGGTCACAACTTGTGCCAAATCCATCTAGTCACTCTGTGCTAGGCCAGTGCTGGTCTGGTGGTATGTGCGTCCTTCCCTGCTTTCCCCTAACGGTTCCCTGAAGCCTAAAACTGGTTCTCAGAATGTTCCCAGGAGAAGGTGGATTTCTCCTGTGTCTTCTGGAAGTGGCTTTCTGTGGGTCATGGCTCTAAAGGCACCAGAGCATGGGAGGAAAGGCGATTGGGGAGGAACCCCCTGGCCTTGGTAACCCTCTGCCCATGGGCTTGTTTCCCTGGAGGTCACCCATACAGTGAGGAACATCCCTTGACCCCTGTGATGTGATAGCCCTTGGCCCCTTGCCCAGCTTCCCTCACCAGCCACATGTACTTGCTTAGAAGGAAGCTGGGCTACTGGAGGGCATCACCCCTACAGTGTAGAGATTCAGCTGAGGGCATTAGCCTCCTCCTCAGCCACCAGAGATCTTCAGGTGGGTGTTCGTGCTACATGAGAATTGCAAAGCCAGGGAAAATTGAGGGACAGGAAAATCAGTACCTTGTGGATGGATGCCCCGAAGCTGCCACTGTCCTGCTCCTGAGTCAATAGGTGCAGGTTAAGGGTAGGTCCAGGCATGTCTCCTGGAAATGACATTTGCCCTCCTTCGGTCAAGGACATGGTTTGGGGTTGGGTTTGAATTTCACCTTCATAGCATACCTTGGCCCTGCCATGGAGTTGCCAACAGCCTGCCGTGGGGCCACCGCCATCTCACCCAGGGGACACCTGGCAGTCCTCTTTGGATGTGGTTACAAGTGATGAAGAAGCCAGAGGAGGCAGATCAGGGACAGAGACAGACAGGATGAGAAGCCTGGCAGGCTCCACCCTAGTACCCTGTGGCTCACCATCTCACCCCCCACCAACCACCACCTTGATCTAAATTGAGAATAGGGCCACAGTCCCCTGGTGCCTGTGCCTGCAGCAGACACTGGACAGATAGGAAGGCTGGGCCCTAGTTGTAAACACACACACTCTGGAGCCTCACAGGAGAGCATAACAATTCCAACTCCCACCTTGGACTCTCAAGACCCAGGAGTGAGGAAGGGACACCCATAGCTCGAGGGGAGCTCTCTGCCAGAAGACATGAAGGGCTTGGCAGAGTCTGAGATGTCCATGCACCCACGTCCTGACCTTGGCTTAAACCTAGGAAACCCACGGTGTGTGTGCTATTAGCCAGCAGGGACCATGGCTGAGTTTCCACTGTGCTTGGCTAGTATGCATGTAAATTCTCGCTAGTGGGCTTGTATTATCCCACACCACAGTTAGGGGAAGCCAAAGGAAGGGCCTGTTTTAAAAAGTGTGTCCCTAGAGAACAGCATCCCCAAGCCCAGGACTGGCCAACTAGAGGGCGCCTCTCACATCACAGAAGCCACTAGTTTTTAAACCCACGACTGAAACATAATCATGTCAACCAAGAGTGTGAACTTAGAGCATCATTTCAAAAGGCCCCATGGCAACTCCACTAAGACCTGCTGGCCGAGCAGCCTGAATGCAGAAGTCAGGTGAAGGGTCCATATCCACGTGTTTCACCAGATGTTTTCCACGGTGGTCAAATCGTGTCAGAACTCAGCATCATTTAGAATCACTCAGTTACCAGGTGTTTCTACAAGCCTTCTAGAGGACATTTTGGATGAGAGGATAATAGATGTACAAAAAATAGTCATATTATATATAGTTATATATGTTTAAAGAGATAATTATCTATACAAATACATATATATATATATAAATACTGTATTCCAATCTGTACAAATATGACCTAAACAGCCCAGGTAGTGTGAGAACTGCATTGCATGAATGTAAATACCTGAACTCTGCCTTCTTAGCAATGCGTGTATGTGGGAGGTGACTGACCATGCCGCTGGTATTCTGTCTCGGTGGGCAGATGCATTCGTCAAGACTCAGCAGCCCCTTCTTCGCAAGGAAGAGAGCATTAAGACTTTTTTATTGTCAATAAAAATATACTTATAAAGATGGCTGTCACTGTTGTCTGTGGTGGGAGCTTGGCCCTGGGCATGCGTGAGAAGGAGCAAGCATGTTGCTGAGAACCCAGGGAGGGCTGGGCACTTTGAAGGTACTTTATTTCTATCGATTTATCCTAAAGTCACAGGCATGTGTTTCTATTTATTTCATTTTGAAGATTGTGTGTGTGTGTGTGTGTGTGTGTGTGTGTGTGTGTTTTGTCTGCGTGTCTTTAGGTATACCACATGTGTCTTGTGCCTTTAGAGGCCAGAAGAACCCCTAGAACCTAGAACTGGGATTATAGATAGTTGTGACATGAGCAAACTCACGTCATCTATAAGAGCAGCAAGTGATCTTAATGAAGCATCATCTCTCCAGCCCCAGGAATGGTACTTCTAAGGACAGCCCTGTCCTTCATCCTCTCACTCACCACCTCCATCTAAATTGAGCCACAGTCATTTCCAGCTTGCCTGGATCTAGGACCTCTATGATTCACACTGGGAAGTTTCCAGGAGAGTGGTCCAGGATGTTGTGGGCACACAGGCATGGGGAATCATCTGCACATGCTGGAGGAGGAGTGGGGTTGGTCCTGTAGCCAATGTCCTGGTACATCCGCCCCTGTTTGGACATCAGTACACAATCTCCTGGCCTGACATGTGCTCCAACACTGGGACCTCAGGAAGAGCAGGATCACCTCGGATTATCCTGAGCCTGGAGAAAATAGGGCAGGAGCCATGGAGGACTGTGTATAAATCCAGACCTGGCCAGGAAAATGCCACCAAGCTTCCATCTTTGTGTGGATGAGTGGGTTCTTGTACATGTGCCAGGAGGTGTGCTGGGAGAGCGAATGCCATTATCCTCATCTCTAGGGTAAAATGATGGATCTGAGAAGGGGCTATGATGGCCCCTCACACAGACCAGCCATCAAGGATGGGGGTGGGCTTGGAACCTAAACCTTCAGCACTGGACTCCGCTAAGAGTGAAGGGACCCCCAACATAGGCTGCCTCCTGCACTACTCATTTTCCATACTCCCTGATAATCAGGTTCCCAATCTTTCAGTGACTTCTGTAAGGTGGGGGACAAAAGAGCCCTGAACTAGGGTTGGGCAGGTCCCCAGCCTAGTAGGTTATCAGCTTAGGACAGGGGTTTAAACAAGGATCTGTGTCCCAGGCACCAGGAAAACGAGAGGAGTTGTGGAGATTCCTGCTGAGCCAGAGGTGGTTTTCTTAATACATTTCTCATTGATGTTTTCCTAGTATCGATGGGACCTGATGAGCTGCCAGCTGTGGGAACGCCCATTCACCAACAGGGGCATAGCAGACGGGCACTGTTACAGTTACTATCAACATGTAGTCCAGAAAAGCACCCAGACCACGCAGGCTTCTGACTTGGCTCCTTCGCCTTGGTAGAAACCCCACAAACTTCATTCACACTCCTGTGCACCCCAGCCAGGGTTCCACAGCCACAATCCTGCGACCAGCAGAGGAAAAGGCAGAGAGCAGCCAGCCTGTTGTGTGTAAGGCTCTGTCCATTTGTGCCCAGGAATCAAGCTCCAAGGCCAGACCGGCAGAGCGAAGAGGGCAGGCCATCGGCAGAGAGCAGCGGCACCAGACCCCTCCCAGGTGTCGCGTCCCCGCCCTGGCTATCCTCTCTGGGGTCTTTATTGCTAGCCCAGTGACCAACAGAGTTCCCTGCCGCCACCAATACTACAGCAACATGTCCAGTTGTCACCCACAGGCACCATACACAGTGGCGCCCACAGGGTACCCGGCCTGGCAGCTGGAGAAGAGATCGAAAGCCAGCCTTGGGCCCATGGGGGCACTGGCTGCAAGCCACTCTTTCTTCCTCCTTCCTTCCCTAAAGTGTGGCACTCAAACATACCATGAGGCGCCTGGAAGTCAGCCCTGCGCAGCCGCTGTAGCCCAGCTGACCCCCTTACTATAGGCCACCCCGCCCAACTAGTGCCCATGGCACATCCCAGCTCACAGGGCCTCTGGCAGTCCCCTTGATGGTCACCTGTAATGCTGTGTCTATCCCAACGCAGTCAGCCAGGCCACACCCCTCTTTTCCATATTGGGGTGGGGCACTTTCCCAACCCTGTCCTCCCCTTACCACTGGAGTCCCCTGAACAGGTGTCATCCAGCTCCTCTCGTCCCTCTGTCCCCAAAGAAAGCAACCCAGCCACCGACAAGGTGCCAGCTTTCCCCTCCTGAGGTCCCAGGTGGACACCTCACAGGTCCTTGGCTACTGGAATGAGCCTCAGCCTTCCACGTCCACAGCTGCCTCCTGGCTGCTCCCTTCCAGGCACCTACTCCAGGCCCCACCCCACTTCAGGTCCCTTTCTCCACCTGACTCCAGTCTTTCCTTTATCTGCTCCTCTGCCCACCTGCCTTTCCTCCAGTCCATCCATTGGCTACCATGTCTCCTTCCCTGACCTCGGTCTACAGCCTTGCTGTC